AGACAATCGGACATGCATAACCCGACTCAGATTTAGTTTCAATAGAGATCACCTTAGAAACTGTGAGTCTATCTTATTTCATTTGCGTGCTATAAACAAATGCAAAGGTACAGATATTTTATTCTAGACAAAGCTCTTGTATTAGCTCATCACCATCACAATGCCAGTTGCTTATTTACTCTGTTGGTGGTTGTTTGAATGACCTTTTTTTGGAAACGCTAACATGCGGTTCCGGTTACACATTTTTATTAGAGGGGTAAATTCTAAATTCTGCTTAAGCTTGAAATTTGTTGCTTTCTGTAGGAATTTAAGAATTGAACTATTCATGTATTTATTTAATACTATGTCGAGCCAATAGTTTTCAGATGAATGTTGCCCTCCTCATTTTTATTATTATTTTTTTTTTCTTAAATTATTATGCAGTATATTTGAGCAATATATACAATATATGTACACATTCCTAAGATTTATATGCAGTGCAAATAAAACGTTACATTGTCTTCGTCTCCAATTTCACGCTCATTGACTGCTGTGGGCAAAATAAATATTGTACGTTTTATAAACGTAGAAAAATTGGCCAGAAAATCCCTCAATCAACAAAAAGTTGTCGTCGGATGGAGCTTATTTACTTTTGGCACATGAACCATTTAAATTGCATTGATCATCCCACAAAAGCAAATAAAACATTGCCGTATGTCAAACAACTTATTGACCGACAGCATCGGTAAAACAGCTAAGGATTCCGTTTCAATATTTCAAATAGCGTGTGTTGGATTTTAGTACTACAATTCTCACAACATAGCATTGCCTTTGTTTTAGTCTACAAAAAATCTATTTCCGGCTTTTTTGTACACACGAAAGTGCGTGTGTGTGTGTGTGAAATCATTGAATGATGTTTTTTTGTGTTAGGCGACAATAGAAGAGCCTTGGAAAAATTTAATATGAAATTGAGTGGCTTCGGGCAATTTGATTTTGGTTTCTTTATTGGTACAAAACAAATAGCTTATCTACACACACATATGTATATACACACATAGACACAATTCGTGTGCACTTGTAGTTGTTCTACATCTCACACGTATTAATATTGCCACACTCATCCGAACATTATACCAACAAATGACGTAAAAGCAAACATTTTATATCTCAACAGATATGAAGCTCTAGGACAACCACAATACGTCTTACCGCACATTAATTGCATGACATGGTTGCGGTAAGGACCAATCACTTCCAACAATGGATTGGCCACAAAAATAATCCTAGGATTATCGCACATTGAATGACAGTTTAAATTTAATATTTGGTTAAGTGTGGTGCAACACTAACGAAGAGTGGCATGCAACGTTTGCACTGTGATGACAATGACATTTCGTTTTTAATACCCTCCACTTCAGAATTGTGTATGTTAAATTTAAGGAAAAATGCATGTCTTTGAGTAACTTTGGAATATCAATTTAACTGCATTCATATTCCTTAATCCAGTACGTCGGATGAAGATTTGGGGAGAACGATTGTACCCTGTACTACGACAATTGGGTCTGGGATCCTAGATATTAGACCACGATAGTAAGCATATAGCAAAGCGCGTCTAAGTAATATAACACTAAGTGTTAGTCTATTTTAGTATTAAAAATTCACAATTTGACAAAATTTGTTAATCAAAACTTCATACATTGTTCCTAACTTTCAAGCTTTGAAGGTTTTATATATTATTCACATTATTCCGTTTTCCGAAAAAATCATAGGAAAATGTTTACGTTTCACACAGAAAAAGTCTTCAAAATCCTTAATTTTGAATTTACCAAATGGACCTACATCCAATTTTTTTCTTTAAAGCTATTTCAACGTCTCCATATGTAAATCCTCAAAACCAACAGTTATTTCCATATTATTTTTCATCCAATTCCAAATTTGGTTCAATTTCGTACTTTTCCTACAAATAAAGTACACCTTTCAAAACCCATCTCCACAGACACCAACTGTGACACATATAGCAAATTTCACAATTCCAGCTCTATCCCTTCATCCAACACACCCAAAACTCAAATACAAATATCATCAGTAATCTAAGTATTAAACAATTTTATCTCTATTCCTTCATCCAATACCAAATATAGTACCTCTCAGTATTTTTCGAACAATCATAGTACACCCCATCCCAACCCACCTCCATATACCACCCCAATACCAAATTTCTGATTTCGTTTTCGTGCACTGAACGAACAATTGTAAAGCCATCTCTTTATCACAGACCTACCGCCAACAGGGACCCCAATACAAAAGTTCAGTTTCATCCGTTCAACTTAAGCCAAATTGTTCTAAATTTAGTAAAGTTCGCAAACTTAGTTTCTTACTGTCCAACCTTGACTCTCATAGGTTTTTTTCAAGTTTGTAGCTCTATCCGTTCACGTAATACCGAATGGTACAATTTTAGAAGCTTAGTACAATTTTAGAACATTTCGCAATCTTAAACCGAAATCACTTTGGTACATCTATTATGCACTCCATCAGTGACTCTCATTCCAAAATTAAAGATTCTCATACATTCCTTTTTTGCAATACAAAGTATTCAATTTATGTTACATTTTAGTACGAATTTCCAAAAACCCAGCCTTACACATCAAGACTGACCCTCGTGCAAAATTTCAAGATTCTAGCTTCAACCTCCTGGGCGTTGATTCTCGGTCAGTCAGTCAGTTATTTCACTACTTTCTTTTACATAGATTTGGATAAGGTATGTTAGAGCTATATCTATAGTAACGACCACACACCCTCTTTATTACCAGTAAGCTAACACATAATGAGTTATTCCTATTACATTTACAAAGCATAATAAGTTACTGTTGTCATACCAAATAGTGAATATCGGCAGCACATTTATAAAACCTTGAGGGCGCTGGTTCGCATCTCCAGCATGCAAATAAAAAAAATATGAAAAATTTGGCGACGCATACACACATTGTTAAACTGCGAAAAAATTTTCGTAACAGTAGCTGAGTGCACAATGTCTCCGACTACCAATCAGAAGATGGTCAGTTTAATCCCTTCCTCAGAAAACAAATAAACAATCGTTCTTGATTGAACCGTGAACTATATATGGATCAAGGTCACTGACCAGTGTTAGGAGAAAGCATTATGTTGCTTTAGCTTTAGGACCAACACAACGATAGAAGGAAGACCTCGTAAGAAGCTCCAAACTCTATTCTATATTTGACTTTCAAGACAAATGATCTGTGGTTGTCATCTAACAACGCCGTTTTGTAATGTAGAGCATTAAATGTTCGACTTTGTTTAGAATTACAGACACATGTACACATGAACTAATTCAAACTAATTGTATTTGTATGTCTGTTCTAGATAATGTTTAAGAAATTTACTTCTTTCTTACTTCTTTTACTTCTTTTAATTAAATTTGGATTTATGCACAACAACATCTAAATTGACACAATTAAATATTCGATTTTCAAATTATCACACATATTATACCATTCAAATGCTAACAATTTGTAAAAAGGATTTATGTAAATTAAAAAAAAATATATGTTTGTATTCAGGTGTCGTAGTGAAACTGAAAACCTTGGTATATTTTTTTCTCCTAGCATCCAAAACTAAATAAAGAATCGACAAAGTGAAATGCATGTACGCCAATTGAAAGTAAAGTTGATTCCTGTGGATTCTGATTATTACCACAAACCAACACAGGCGTTCAGCTTGTTCTGGCAGTCAGGCTGTCAGTCGGTCGTACGTACGTGCGCTGCACTCAATCATTGCATTTTCTTAAGGACACACGACTGTGTATTTCACTGACTGATTTTGATCATTGTAAATTTGACGACATTTCGGTTGACAAGCAACACAAAAAATGTTATTGCACCGCTACCTACCACAGCCATACAACCAACCAAATAAGCGCTTATGCCCACATATATCCAAACATTCAGCATCAGCTAAAATCAACAATTTTGTACGTTTTTCCCGCTCCCCCGTTAACCCCTCCTTCGGTGCTCATGTCGATGCTCGTTTAGAGCAATTGGCTTGAATTTGTATGCAAACTACAATTTTCGGAATGCTCGAAGGCAAAGCTTTACTTATACTAAATGTACGCTTTTAAACATCCCCATTGTATATGGAACTAGATAGGAACTAGAGACAGAACAGTGAAATATTCTTTAGAATCCCATAAGATTTTAAAATTTATTAAATATTTTATTTATTTGGTGTTTTTTTTTTGTATTTTTCTCAGTATTCAGTTCTTGAAAAAATATATTTCTTATATTGCTATTGCAAAATAGTTAGGCTTTATCCCATTATTGTTGTTTTTATAAAAACAACGTTGCTTTTTTAGCGGGGATCGATATTCTCCCCAGGATTTATTTAAAAGGTTATGCTATTTCGTTTAGGTAAATGATAGCATAACGAGTCGAAAGAGATGAAAACATTTTCATTTCTTTCGACTCGTTAGGCGTGCGGTTGTAAGATTTAGAAGATTTTCCAAAAGAATTTTAGTTTAATGTAATTTCTCTTCTATTGAGCTCGTGATCTCGTCACTTGGGTATTTTTTTTTTTTTTGTCAAAGGAATTATTTTAAAATAACTTTTGGGGAGAATATCCCAGACATAAATCAAGGGAACTGATGAGGATTGGCGACTCTTTGTGGAATCTATGTATTCCCTGCCTTACCCACTGGTAAACATTACCATCGTTCTCCACTAATAAACAAACGTTGTTTTTATACAAAACAACAATAATGGAATTAAGCTAAACTATTTTGCAACAACAAAATTCTACGCTATCCCGAACAAACATGTCAACACTGTTCAATATATGCTATTTGTAAAGAATTCGAAGAAATCTGGTTTGGGGGGGGTTTACATCACACATCACATACATACTTATTCTGAAATTACTAATGAACATCCTTTGGGGAAGAATTAAATAAACCGACCATAAATATTATGCTCTTGGCAGACTTATTTTCTCAATGGAAAAACTTGCAGGCTTCGCAAGGCAATTCCCGTTGCAAGCTGCAACGTCTGGAATTGATTACCTCCATGACGAGATCGGGACGCTGTCAGTCTACGTAATGTCTTGCGAGCATATTATCTGGCTATTCATTCTAAGAAATACTCTATAATGGAAGATCCACATTTTCGACGTGTCTGCCAGGAATTCAGGCGCTATCACGATTCATTCACGACTTTCAACCGATCCATCGCCGAAATGGAAAATTATGAATCTTCTACATTAAAAAACGGTGTCAGAAGTCATAAACGAATATAAATGCAATGAAGTCCTTAACCAAAGTCGTCTGGCTATTACATATGCCAAGAATAAGCTAGAAAGCTAGAAGAGAAAAAGCAATATCGGAGAAAAACTACATTGTAAGAAAAGGGGGGAAAGAACACTCTGGTGGTACGGCTATATTGCAAGCAAATATTGAATCGAAAATACAGAGCTAAATGGAAAAACTCATGAAACAAAAACAATCGAATATTTATGCTCTATAATAGAGGAGCATAAATACATTAAAAAAACCGGAATGATAAACGCTCCGAGTTTCAATACATATAATAAAGGACTATTTTTTTACAAAGAAATGTAAACGTAAACTATAGACGGACACTAGTCACGCGTTAGTACCTCGGAGTATAAAGAACTCTTTGTTCAAAATATACACCATACAGTGGTTTACAACAAAATGCTATACTTTGCACTGGGTATTCCGCACATTTTCCGTTCAGAAGAACTAACAAGGAGATTGTGTTCAAATCAAACGACTGTGCAACGTCTCATACAGTTTTGTTAGACTATGTTTGCTTTACGCTTAAATCCAATGCAATTTCTCTGTTCTGCATATTTTATGTTCGGGAATCGTGCATCGAATATGTACTGACTCCGCCACTATAGCAGCCACTTTAGTAACTGTTACTACTGCTAGCGCTGTCTCACACATCCACTGTTACAATCAGTCCTCGGTCCCCTCTTCCGACTACATTCTGAGCAACTAACGAAGCTTGCTTTGTGTTTCCAAACATGCAACTCTGCATATCCCGAGCATTCCCTCCCGCATTCGGAAATTTGCATTCAATAAGTTTTTGTTCAAATACCATCGCCCAGAATATCGAGAGGCAAAATGAAATATAGAAAAAGAGGAATGTATTTGCTCAATAAACCAGAAAACAAAAAGGAATCAAAGTGACAAAATGAAAATTTAAGCTGATATCTTTGCAATAGTTTTTCCTTAAAATTGTCAATTCAAAGCGAAAAACATGCAAAAGAATTTCTTTGATTGACAATAAGAAATGTTAAGAAACAATCAGACGTTAATTGGCAGCCACGTTAAGTAATTTTTACTGCATCAGTCACAAGGGCTTGTATTTGAAAGCAGTTTATATGAAAAGTAATCAGATCCACAAAGGTGAACTAGAGTTGTTCTATACATAACTAGCTGACGCGGACTACGATTTAGTTTTTGATGTATTTTTTTTTTTTTGAGAACATAATAATCTACAACCTACCTTATATGACATTTTAAAAGTGCAAACTTTCCATAATTTCCTCTTTGAAAAAGCTTAAACTTTGCTAAATATGTTGGGTGCCAACTACGGTAAATCTTAGAAATTTGCCGGTTTCCATCCATTACTGAAGTCTTCTTTGTTTTGTGGGCTATTGATGTATTTTAAATCAATTTGTTTAAGAGACACAATATTTATGACACTTGTTCACCTCTTCGTTTTTATCAAAGGTCTGCTTTCTAGTATATATAGCATTTTCAAATTAAATGAAACCTTTTGCAACCGAATAGAAACATTTTGCAATTGAAACGAAGCTTTATAGAAAGGAACATAACAACAATTTTTATTTTTAGTAGGTTTAAAATTATATCAACAAATTATTACTAATGTATAGTCAAAGACGGCTTTTATTATTATTAGTATCTATATTTGTTAATATTATATGCAATAACAAGTTGATTTGATTAAAATATTAAACATATTGAATACTCTTAATACTTAACGCCAAAAAAAAGAAATTGAAACAAATTTTGGCCATTATTACTATGAATTGTATGGACAGAACTGAAATTCGAAATTTAGCTTTATTATGATGTTTTATAGTTACACCAAAGTATTCCCGCATCGCAGTTGTATGATTTTTACCAACAGATCTATTATGGAGATAGTGCAGTCCTGTTGTGTGGCCTATTCAATGGTTCGCTCTATCACGTGCACAATCTAATACCTTGTTGAAACGTCCCGGTATCATTTACAATACCAACCATCCAAGACGCAATACAAACTATTGTGCCAAATTTCATATTCCCACATAAAATTTTAACTCAACATCGTTATTTTCACAGACAGACAGGTGAACATTATTAAATCAACCTGGAACATGAATGTACAGGGTGAGATAAAAAAACTGCAACAAAGTCAAACACCATAATTTTTATTATTATTATTTTTCTTTAATTTTATTGAATGAAAGTAAAAAATGTCGGATATTTAGATTTGTTCGAATTGGTCACCTTTGGCTGAATTATGGCTTTCAAACGGCCAATTAAACCGTCACACTCTGCTCGTTGCTTTGGTATTTTTTAGTGCCAACCTTGCTTTCCAAAATACTCCAGACACAATAGTGTCAATAGCTGTCGAACGAGTGGCTTAGAAATGACAGCAGTCTAAAGTTGGTTGCAGTTTTTTCATCTCACTCTGTATATGCCTTATGGGGTCCACAACGAAGATTTAGAGTTGTTGCAAACGGAATGACAAAGAGAGGTCTTTTAAACAAAGACCTAGAAAAAACAATAATAATTTTTCTGCATCCACACTTGTGTTTTATGATATCGTGTGATACACTACAGGAGCTAAACTCCGGCGAATCATTCAATAGCCTACACAATAAAACTGCTATATCTCTATAATGGATCGGGAATCCTTTATTAGGTAAGATTAATAGTTTGCTATCACTATAATTGAAAAATTCCTCTTTAACAATATATTAGAAATAATTAGTGTATTTAATCTTAAACCTACTAAAAATAAATATTTATCTGGTTTTTCGACATTTTTGACTGCCAATAAAAACAATTGTTTGAGTTTACGGTCTAACATTTTGGTTTTTAACAGGGTAAAAGAGAGAAAGTTGCGGAAAACTTTATGTCAGCAAAGCAAATTAAAAACTAGGATGTCAGCACTCAAATCAGTTATCAAATTAAGAAACAATAATTCGATACAAAACCAGTATAAAAGTCAAAAGTCGGGCGGGGTCGACTATATGATTCCCTACACCACTATGCCTATTTAGTAGAGCTCTCGAAACAAAAGAATTTATTTGAAGTAGATCATACCACCTATCAACATTTGGCTTTAGAGCAGTTATAGTTTCCGAATCGATTTTCACAAAATTTGACGGAGACCCAAGCTCTAAACTCAAGCTCTAAAATATATCTGGTGCAAATATCATTGTTTTCGAATACATATTAAAATGTGAGGAACTTAAACACCAAATCGGATGAAACCTATATATACATACACAAAATCGGTTGAAGATATATATGGGAGCTATATCCAAATCTGAACTGATCTTGATAAAATTTGGGGTATTTCTGAGCTATATCTGATATCTGGTACCAAATATAATGGTACTGAATGCATATTACGCATGTGAGGGACTTGAACACCAAATCGGATGAAACATATATGTAGGTACTATAGCTATATCAGAACCGATTTTCACCAAATTTGATCGACTTGCTTCGAGACTGAAATCGGTTGGATGTGCCAAAATTCATTTGGACTTATATTGGCCATTTGGTGCACAATTAACTGGAAATCGGTTAAAGATATATAGGAGCTAAATCTGATCCGATTATCACCAATTTCAATAGACTTCGTCCCTGAATCAAGCAAATATTGTTTACAAAAAGTCATCTCAATCGGATAGTAAATGCGACCTGCATTTTGTTCACAAGAATACACGGACGGACGGACGGACTGACATGCATAAATCGACTCAGAAAGTGATTCTTCATGTTACAAACAAATGCACAAAGACATCGGGTAAAGTAACACAGCCAACGGATCAGAGGAAGGTTCATGAGCTGGTTGAAAATTCCGATTAATTCTCAATCCAATCTCTAACAAAAACAAATAAAATGGAAATGTTTACAAAAATTATAAAAATGGTGAATATTAGAAGGTAATATTTTATGTGGGCCACAGGAAAACATGGACCTATTTTATTATTTTTTTTTTGCCAGAGCAAATAGTGATCACATCTCATTTCAATCCCAAATAAAGTTCAGATATAGCGGCTTAGCCGACAGATGTATTCCCTCGATTATTTAAATATATTCTGACTTGTGTTATGATTAATCAAATTGTTGACCCTCTATGGAGTAGGTTCCTAAGAAATGGACCAATATTGTCTTTTCTTCTTCGACTATATTGCTTACTTCTTATGAAATATGTATCACTTTGTGTGAAATATTTGATAATTTTTAGATGATGTTAAAATGTGCGTGAGGTACCAGATATAGTCGACGCAAGTATTCCATTTTCATACTTCATCTAATACAGATAAAAATATTGGTATGGACAGAATTACATGAAAATTTAACATTTATATCCAATTGTATGCAAAACCATATATTCATTATTCATCTCAGCTTTCTGATGGAGAGAAATATTTAGTTGTAAAGAATCGCCGACTTGTTTCGCTAGTTATGACAAATAAAAGTATTGAAAATTATGACCCTTTGTGGGTGAGACACCAGAAGGGGTTTCACAGATATATATCATCTTCACAACAGATCATGTGTGAGCAAAAATGTTTTTCTGTGCGAAATTTGAAGAAAGTTGAAGTCTTATTTCGCTTTATTTGAGCGTTTGTTTTTCAAATATTGAACCCTATGTGGCGGAGGTACCAGAAGAAACGGTCCGATCTCCACCATCTTTATAACAGATAGTGTGTTGATAGAAATATTGAGATGTGCCGAGTCTGAAGAGAACTGGATCTTAATTTTAGATTTTACGAGCTTTTTGGGGGAGGTACCAGAAGGAATGGAC